AGGTAACATTACAGCCAATTCCTCCAAGGACTGGATGGTGGGCAATGTGTGTTGGTGTGTTCTAGCTGTTCTACATTTTCCTACAATTCAACACTGAATTTTTTTTTTTTTAATGTATTTTATCACTTTCTAAATTTCTTTCTAAATTTCCCCACAGGTTCAGCCAAAGCCAGGAGTGATCAGCTCAGTTGGAGGGATGACTCTGGGGAAAGGTGGAATGCAGATACAGGTGTTAGGAGCTAGTCTGACTCAAATGCCTGCTCCACAGCCCCCAGCTCCAGCACAAACTCAGGTAAAGTAGTGTCACGTCATCATAGTGACATCCCAAAAAACTGCCTCTAATGTTTAAGCGTCAGTCTGAAGATTTTAATTCTTGTTGTTCATCTTTTACCTACATCACAGACACCAACAATGAAGATGCCTTTCAGCGCAGAGCCCAGCAAAGAAGCCAGGTGTGTGCCACAGGCATTTTAAGGTTATTTTAACTGTCTCAAATCCCAGTTTTTGAGAGAAGTATTTCTTTGTACATGCCTCATTGCAGGATGCTAGAGCAGCTGAGGAAACAGCAGGGTTCAGTGCTTCACCCAAACTACAGTGCTCCTTTCCACTCTTTTGAGGACACACTGCACAGACTGCTGCCTTACCATCTCTACCAGGGAACTGCCAACTCTTCTCAAGACTATCAAAGAGGTAACCAACTCCATATCCTCTAGTGCAGGCAATATGCTGTTTAGTACCTTTCCCCCAATTTCAAGATCTTAATGAACATTTCGGTTTTTCTTGTGCACAGTGGATGATGAATTTGAGAGGGTCTCCTGTCAGCTGCTGAAAAGGACCCAGGCCATGCTGGATAAATATCGCCACTTGCTCTTTGCAGAGTCAAAAGTAAGTTTATAAACCAGCATTCTCACCAAACACCACCTTGTTGTGTCCTTTGTCCTAAATTGATATTGAACCGATGGTTTTTGGCGTTGCAACCTGAGCAGAGACTGGGCCCCTCGGCAGAGATGGTGATGATTGACCGGATGTTCATTCAGGAGGAGAAGATTGCGTTGAATCAGGACAGGATTTTGGCCAAGGAGAGACCAGGTAGCCTGACACTGTCTGTCATACATTGTTGTAGTTGTCTTCATCTAAATTGTATGCTTGTGAGCATGTGTATGCTAATGATATGATTGTGTTTGTTTAATTGCAGAGGAGTTTGTAGCAAATGCGCGCATGTTGGAGAGTGTGGTTTCATCCCAAGAGAAATCCTCATCTGCTGAGCACACCTCAGTGAGTGGAGGTGTAGCTGCTGCTGCCCCTGCTCCAGCATCTGCTGCTCCTGCCCCAGCCCCTCTTCCAAACATCACCCCAAACCCCCCACCTGCACCCGCCCAAGTTCCAGTTCCAGTTCCAGCTCCAGCTCCAGCTCCAGCTCCTGCTCCAGCCCCTGCCCCTGCTACTGCGCCTGCTCCTGCTCCTCCTCCCCCTGCTCCTGCTCCTGCTCCTCCCGCCACCAGTTCTGTTACCCCTTTTCCTCCTACCAAACTGGTAATAAAGCAGGGTGGAGGTGGAGCCTCTGTGTCTTGGTCCAGCAGCTGTCCACCACCTCCAGCCGCAGCGGGCAAGCCGGTGGCCGAACCCACCAGCCAGTGCTCCTCCTTCAGTCGAGCTCCAGCAGCATCCTCCTCTTTCTCGTCCTCGTCCTTCAATTCTCAAGCAGCCGATGATGACGACGCTCTCCCACAGAGAACCAGCAAACCGCCTATCAAGACCTACGAGGCTCGCAGGAGAATTGGCTTGAAGCTGAAGATCAAGCAGGATCAAACGGGGTTCAGTAAGGTGGTTCATAACACTGCGTTAGACCCAGTGCACACACCTCAACCTCAGCAGAGCAGCCAGTCTATATCCCAGTCTCAGACTCAGCCTCAGCCTCAGCCTGAAGCTGCTGTACCACATCCAAAGTCCCACCCTTTATCGACTCCTCCCACTACAGTCATCAGAACTCAGTCCCCCGTATGCACAGCTTCTTCTGCCTCATCAGTCACCATAGCAACCACTCAGTGTAACCCGCCACTGAGAAGTAATGTTCCTCCCAATGCAGCCCCATCTTCCTCTACCTCTTCCTCTCATACTTGGTCGTCGTCCTCCTCCTCCACCTCCTCCACTCAAATGAATGGGACGTTGGATCATCATGGTATGGGTGGGGTCAAACACAATCCTGCCTCCACTGCCAATCCCTCGCCGACAACCTGTCGCCTCCCCCTTCGAAAAACCTACCGGGAAAACATTAGTCCCCGGGTCAGACCTGGTGTCCCAGGGGGAGGAGATGAAAGTTTGTCCTACCCCAGACCCACGCCGTCACCCCCCAGGCATGAGGCCTCATCTCCTCCCTCAGAGCGGACAGTGATAGCCAGTGTGAAGGTGGAGAAAAGAGGCAGGGAGGCCTCGCACACTCACACAGAGTCAAGCCACGAAACAGGCCGTTTAGGGAGTGCAATGCAGGGGCTGGACGAAGTGGACGAGGTGTTTAACCGTGGTATCAAAACCACACAACACCATCATCTCCCACAGCTCCTAGACAAGGAAGGGGCAAAGGAGAGAGTGGCGGAGCACACAGACCAAGAGACAGATGTAAGTAAATACAAGAGGGCGGGTGGAAAAAATAGACATAGGGTAGGTGGGACTTTCAGAATGGACCAGCATGCCCCTGGGCCTCCCTCTCCAGAGTCCTCCTTCACACGAGACTCTTTACTTCCTGCCAAACGCTGCAAATCAGATTCCCCCGACATGGATAACGCCAGCTTCTCCAGCGGCAGCCCCCCGGATGACTCTCTCAACGAGCACCTTCAGTGCGCCATCGACAGCATCCTAAACCTGCAGCAGGAGCCCTCTGCCCGCGGGCACCACATTAAAGGGGGCAACAGCAGGCCCCACCAACACCAAAGCCAGCGCCCAGGGGGCTCGGCAGCTTCATCCCACAGACCCTCAGTCCCACCTCCCTCCTCTGCTTCCTCGTCGTCCTCCTTGGCCCAGCACCCTCAGGTCGGTGGCCGTGGCCACAATGGCAGCCTGGTGCCCCAGACTCAAAGCAGATAACAGCCCCTCAGCCCCAGGCCAGACTGACATGGGGGAACTAAGAGACAGATTTTGAGGCAGGGGAAGGGGGGGCACTGTGAAAACAGTATCACTGTACTACTCTGCCAAGCTGTGTTGGCTTTGTTTGTCCATTTGAATTGTCCAGACATTTCTTTGTCATTTACAGCCTTGAAGTAGACCTGTGGTGGAATAAGTGTGAGTGTGGTCCAAGGTAAAACTGTCTCTGTTAGATGCAGACTTGAAGATGCCTGCCGTTTTGTATGTGTTCTGTCAGCCAAGCTCGAGAAACAAGAAGAAATTGTCAGAGGTTGCTGTTCTCTTTCTTTCTTCCTTTTTCACTTTTCACCTTTTCTTTTTCTCATCCACCATTCATACATTCCTTTTCATGTGGCCTGAGCACCAGCCCACAACGGTTCATCTCCTGGTTTAAACAGCCCCAATGAGCATCAGGCAGCTTGTTTTAACAGTTCAGAAGACAACAACGTTCTCTAACTTGGTTACGTGCAGCTGAGAGGCAAACGAGAATGCTGTAAAAGGTCATAATACACACAGTGTCTTCCTTTACCAACCAAATTGAATCGTCTTATCACACAGATAATGCTGCCCTCCTGATGCAAACTGCACATGCTAAAATGATACAGGCCACCTCTTTATCAAGATTAAATTTCTTTAGACTGTAAAATAAACTGGGACGCTCAGTCGTCACACTCGTCTTCAATTGGCAAAATCAAGTAGCCTCATCCTCCATTATGCCTGCATTTCATATAGACACCACATGCATTTTAAAAGTAAAACATATTGAGAAAATAATTTGGATAATTGTGAAGTTTTATGTAAATGAACGTGTAATGAAATTCAGTTATATTCTGTTTCTGATGTCAGATGATTTTCCAGGTTCTTGTTTTTAGACAATGCCTCCACACACACCTGCCCCACCCCCCACCCCCTGTTACGTTTGATGCCAGGTTAGGACATAGTGCGTTTTAGTCAGCAGGGGGCAGGCCAGTTTTAACTGTTGATTTTCTGTGTTTTCAGTCTGTTTGTTTTCTGCAACTGTATCCCTGCCTGTGTGCGTGTGTGTGTGTGTGTGTGTGTGTGTGTGTGTGTGTGTGTGTGTGTTTGTGCGCGTGTGTGTGTTTGTGTTTGTTTCTTTCTTCTTTTTCTTTTTCTTTTGTCTTTTCTTTGTCTTTTTTAAGCCTGGTGGACAATTCAAACACAAGCACAAGCATTGAAATGGAAAAAAAGGAACAATAATAATGTACAAAAAGACCGTGAGAGAATTTGAAGTATAGTATTACAGATTAATTTTGTATTGTATTTATTGTGTATAATGACACTTTTTAAAAAGAAATGTACATTTAGTAAAACTGTAAATTAAACCTTGCTTCTTTTATGAAACATTGCAGGCCATCTAGTCATTTGTCCAGCTGTTCAGTGATTCCTGATCTTCTGGATACATTCCTTTGAGTGACTAATGATGACTGAGGAGTACTGTATGATGGTAGTGGGGGGGGGGGGGGGGCGGCCGCAGCAGTGGGACGTGTCCTCTATGAGACAGCCAGCAGGTGGTGCATGGATGTGGAAAAGTAGAGCTTATTTGTGTGATTCATTGCCTGGAAGGTTCACAGAGTTTGGGAGGAGCAAGAGTGTTTATACTGTGGAGGGGAAAAACTGTTACATCTGTAAACGTATGACATGTTACAGTAAGCTGAGGAGAGAAAAAAACTAATCAAAAAAAATTTAAATACATGGAGAAGTTAAAAGCCACAACTGGAGTGGTGCAGCCTGAGGGTGTGTTTATCGTTATAAATATGCATAAGGACATTGTGAGGCGATGTCATGTTAAAAAAAGAAAAAAGGAAAAAAACAGCTCCACCCAAATTATTTATTCACAACCCCACTCCTCCAGCTCCACACCCTCTGGCCACAGCCCAGCTCATCCCTGCCCTGAGCAGAGTGTTAGTGCTGCCCACAGTGTTGCCAGGCATCCCTGGAAGAGGAGGTGCGTTAAACTAGGAGAAGGAAGCAAGGGGAGAGAAAAGTTAGCCTCAGTGTGGTTTGCTTTGTGCTCTTTCAGCAAGCAGAGTACGGATCCTTGCCAGATCTGGAGCTCATCTGATGTACATTAAACCCTGGGGAAGAACGATCCTCTATAATCTCGCTGCGTTGACGCTCTGCTGAGGGTTCCTATTTGCTGTCAGAGGTACACCCATACATGTAGCTGCAGCTCCTCGAAGACACTGACTGTTTTTGTCTCCTCAAGTCAAAATATTTTCCAAACTCCAGAGGGCAAACCTGGAGAGAGCGAGAGAAAGAGAGATCAAGGTGCTTGAAGAAGGCCGTGCTTTCTCCACAACAACTTGGTAAATACTCTTTTTTTTAAACTTTGAATATGGCTATAACAGTCTGCTTTCATTTGAACTTTTACTTTGCAGCAGAGGAAACCAAGGCTTGATGGTGTTTGGTAAGTGCGAAGATCAAAACTTAAATGAAGAATTAATTCACTTGGAAACTGTAAACCCTCAGTAGTCTTTTTGAAAATGTTTTCCATGTCTCATTTTGATATTACTGCCCTGATTCTTGTTGCTCCTGCAGGCTAAAATTGTACATTTTCTGTTCCAAAACGGTGTTGCAATTGTGGTACACAAACCCACAAGGCATTTTCCACCCTCCTTTAACTTTAGAAATTGATCTCAGAGCCTTAACTAAACCTTTAGGTATCACGCAAACCCCGTAGATCAACTTTTACTCATACAGCATGGCTGGCACAGAACTTGAAGTGTGTAATGGCAGGCAAATCACGTTTAATGTCCCTCCTGTAAATCTCCAGGGTTCGCCATTTTGACAAGAACTCTGTCCACACTGGTCTTGTGACATGTCAGTACTGTGTTGCCTAGTGTCCTCCAGGCAAATATTTTTTTTTATCCTAATTCAAATGGGATTTGAAAGAAAGAAGCTCTTCACAGATGAGCTCCCATCTGCTGATGCGTGTCTTACTTTTTGTGTCAGTCTTCTCATAATGAGGTGTGCCTTCAGTTCCTAATCTAGCACTTGTGTTTATGGAGACCACAGTGGAAAAAAAAATATGGGTTACATTAGTTTTTCCATGTATAGACTAACCCTTAAGAGGTCTTTTCCTTACATGAACAATTGAGCCGTGCACACATTTCATGTTCCACTGAGAGGAACTGCAGGGGATAAAAGGAATGTCTTACTCATTTCACTGTAAAGAAATGAGCTGTGCCTGTGCAGGGCTGGGTTTGCAAGTTTTCCAGCATGAACACCAGCTTTTTCCAGGCATGCACTGACAATGCTTGGCAGATTCCTGGTGGGCTGAAACTTACTCCAGATTCCACATCCTTACTCTAAGTTGTGACAGACTTTGATCACCGGGCACAAGAACAGCAAGAAACTTTTTTTATCACCTGGATTAATCTCATTTGGATTAACCTCTACCTGTCTCCTTTTCTGTCCTCGTTCCAGGAAATAAAAGTTGTCAGTGTTGCAACTGTTTTCAAAGGGGAAGATCCAGACTTCAAACAAAACCATCAGCCCTATCATTCCTCTCGACGTGTGCAGAGGAGGCTCCAAGGACAAGAGAGCAGTGTTCACATAAATACAGGAAACACCTGAAGGTTTTCCAAGGTTCAGCCCCAGGAAATACAGCTCCAAAAAAACAGACACAACTCTGACACTGATTTTTACAAGAAGCTCACAATCTCATTAGTCAATCAGCATGTCACGCTGGGGGCGAAAAAATGTGAAGAAGGCGCCGGAGGTGATCCGCACTGTGACAGAAGGGCTCAAGTCCCTGTATCGAAAGAAGCTGCTGCCTCTGGAGCAGTACTACGGTTTCCACGATTTCCACTCTCCCAGTCTGGAGGATGCAGACTTTGATAACAAGCCTATGGTGCTGGTGGTGGGACAGTACTCCACAGGGAAGACTACGTTCATCAAGTAAGACGTTCCAGCTGTGCATCAAACATTTGTTCACTGTTGAATTGTGTGTGATTGCAAAGTATCATTGGTGAAAAACAAATCACAAGCTATGTGTGTGACTGGCAGGTATCTACTGGAGCAGGATATTCCTGGGAGCAGGGTGGGACCTGAACCCACCACTGACTGCTTCACTGCTGTCATGCATGGGGAGGTGGAGGGAGTCATCCCTGGAAACGCCCTTATTGTAGATCCTAACAAGCCTTTCCGCAAACTCAACCCATTTGGAAATACCTTCCTGAACAGGTGAGAGCAAGGATTTTATTCACAGTGTGTTGTGTAATGATTTCCACCAAGGGAGCCAGATATATACTGTATATCAGCATGTAATGCACAGGCTCCACGAGAGAGTCCGAGGGGGGAAAACAGGGAAGGAGAGATAACAGTAATTTTTTTTTTAGGTCTTTGGAATTTCAAGTCCTTGTGCCAAATTTCAGAGCAGGGAGGCACTTGCCTTATTTGTGGAAAAACGGAGAAAGGGAGCGATATCACCCGAGAGGCTGATGAAAGCAAATGTGCTCAGACAGGAACAGCAATCTACGCAAGTTCAAAAGCAAGGTCAGAGGGCTCCACAGCCCCTCAGGGTGAAGACAAACAAATAGAGTCACAGACATTGTGAGGCTTTAGGGAAAGCTGTAAGAGAAATCTTCACACTCAAGGTTACTGTCCTGGCTGCCAGATTTCTGTGTATGTTTTTCCACTGTTGTGAACCAAGAAAGTCACATCTTACAATAAAGCCCTTTTAGCTACTCGGAGCATGGATGTGAAGGCCAGAAGTGACAGGAACATACAGTACTCCTGTTAATGGGGCTCCAAACATGGAGTTCAGATGCCAGTTTTCCAGCAGGGTCCCTCTCTCCCTCTGCAGGGTGTGTTTGTGAATGTATTTGCGTCGCTCCTTTTGCTTTGACTTCCTGTTCGGGGAGCCGGTGGGCTCGTTAAGCTCATAAGCTACAGGAAGTGGTGTTGTTGTTCTAAGCCACACATCGTTAGCAGGCCTTATTGTTTGATTCTGGCAGTAGTGGTCATTTTCCTTCAGGAAGCCCACAGCAATGAGAGGCCTGCTTGCACACAATGGCCTGCAGAGGGAGGGGTGGGAGGTCTGAAGAGGGCAGCTTCCAATCTGCTCTTTAGATAACATTGGCCTCTTTGATAAGAGTTAACCATTTTTCACATGATTTAGATTCTTTTCAATGACACCGACAATGTTTTCAAACGAAAATGACCTCTGTGAACTTGTGTCTTATCATCATTTATGTGAGTTTTCTCCTGTCTACTGATGATAATACCAGGTTCCAGTGTGCCCAGATGCCCAACCAGGTCCTGGAGAGTATCAGCATTATTGACTCACCGGGGATCCTGTCCGGGGCAAAGCAGAGAGTGAGCCGAGGTGAGGGAGGTAGCAAAGGTGAGGAGAGGGCATGGGGGGCCTGCAGAGACACACATCCCTGAGCGTCATCTCACAAACTCATCTCCTTGGCACGCCTGGATAACTCATGGGACTAGTTTGCTCTGTCACAATAACACTTGGCAGCAGGGCAAGAAAACTTCTCAACAGTGTACTGAGCAGCCATAAAATCCTAATCAGGAACAGGGGTAGTACAGACAAAAACATCTGGAGGAATATACTATAGAGAAATAGCTATCTTCGTCATCTCACTGTAGTTCTTCCACTTTTCTATTCATCCACGCTTCAAGTAACCCATTATTTAAGTCAATCTGCATGAGCAACTAACAAGTTGAAATGGTGAGTGCATCCACATTATGAAAAACACATTTCCTCACTTATCACCAGTGGTATCAGCCATACAGATAGTTTTGGTTTTGAAATATCCATCTGAGATTTCTTCCTCCCTGCCCCAGTACAATGGAGGTGAAAGGAATGTTGTTTGTGGTTCTCACAGGAATAAAAAAAAATTCTGCATCAATATGTCTTTCCAGAAACAGTGTCCCAGTTTCTCTGGCTAATCCGAGCTATTTCTTTGATAAGAAATAGTTCCAAGCGAAGTTTGTGGATTATCCAGAGTAACTAACATTGTTTTTGAAAAGACAGTGCTGATGATTTCTTTAACTATGAATATATGTGCACCACAAACAGTAGTCCATTGAAAGAAAATTCAGTGATGGTTATCTGAAATCCTAGGAGAATAAAACCTAAAACTACCTTTGTGGCTATACCACAGGAGGTATATAATCAAATGTTTTTTTTGTAAGTTGGGTGAACTGAACCTATTAGTATGATTATGTTGATACAGATGAAGAAATCACGTAGTTTGGAAATTTTGATGTTAAAAGTCAAAGAATTGCTTTTACAACGTGGTATCTTACAAAAAGTGAGGGTGTCTGAATGTACAGTTATAGTGGGTTTGACACATACATATAAGAATAAGGTGTGACGGGTTTGTGTCTGTGTCGACCTTCTACTCTCTCCTGGCCCCAGATTTTTTTTTTGCACATAATGATAGACTCAGATTTTTATACTGTTTTATTTTCCTTTTTATATTCAAACAGGTTATGACTTCCCAGCTGTGCTGCGCTGGTTTGCTGAACGCGTGGACCGCATCATCCTGCTGTTTGATGCCCATAAACTGGAGATATCCGATGAGTTCTCCGAGGCCATCGGTGCCCTGAAGGGCAACGAGGACAAGCTGCGCGTGGTGCTCAACAAGGCAGACATGGTTGGCACCCAGCAGCTGATGCGGGTGTACGGTGCACTCATGTGGTCCCTGGGGAAGGTGTTTGGCACCCCAGAGGTTCTGCGCGTCTACATCGGCTCCTTCTGGTCAGAGCCACTGATGGTTACAGACAACCGTAAGCTGTTTGAGCTGGAGGAGGAGGATCTGTTCGCTGACATCCAAAACCTCCCTCGCAATGCAGCTTTACGCAAGCTCAACGACCTGGTCAAGAGGGCACGTCTGGTTAGGGTGTGTGTTTTTTAGTGTTCATTAAATGATTACTGATGCATTGACATTACTGCATTATATTTATGTTAGAAGTGTTAAAAGATTGGTGGAAGTAGCCTTTGCTATGCTTCTCTTATTCCCAGGTCCACGCCCACATCATCAGCTATCTGAAGCAGGAGATGCCTTCTGTCTTCAGAAAGGACAATAAAAAGAAGAATCTGATCTACCAGCTGCCAGTTATTTTCTCCAAGATCCAGCTGCAGCACAACATTTCTGCTGGAGACTTCCCAGATTGTGCCAAGATGCAGGTCAGTCTGAGTTTGTTGGTTTTCACTAATGGGTACATCTGAGAGGCAAATGTGAAGCCTTCTTTTGAATTACTCCAAAAACTGTTTAGTTAATATTTAGAAAGAAAAAACGTAAAATCTTCTAGCTAACGCATTTTTGTCATTCCCTTTTTTAAGGAGCAACTGATGGTTCACGATTTCACCAAATTCAAAACCTTGAAGCCTAATCTGATGGCAGCCCTGGATGAGTTGCTCTCCGCTGACATTGCCAAACTAATGCCCCTCCTGCGGCAGGAGGAGCTGGAGGCAGGTGAGCAACTAGGCGTGCAGGGTGGAGCCTTCCTGGGGACCCGTGGTGGACCATTCTCTGAGGGCGACCCCTTCACCGAGGAGAACGGAGAGGGACCAGAGGAGGAGGAGGACTGGGTGGTGACCAAAGACAAGCCCAAATATGATGAGATCTTCTATAACCTCGCTCCCAATGAGGGGAAACTGAGCGGCAATAAGGCTAAGGACTGGATGGTGAGCTCCCGCCTGCCCAACTCGGTGCTGGGTCGCATCTGGAAGCTGTCAGATGTGGACCGTGATGGCATGCTGGATGATGAAGAATTTGCGCTAGCTAGCCACCTGATTGAGGTCAAGCTGGAGGGCCACGGTCTTCCACCTGAGCTCCCCAACCGTCTGATCCCACCCTCCAAACGCAGGCAGAAAGGTTCTGATGCATAAACATGTCACAAAGTCCCTGGAGCTGAGAGACTATTCTCTACTGGCTGTCACACTTCTGCTACTGTTTGTATTTGCTCATCCCCCCCCCCAGACCCATGTCAAAATGTTGTATGTAATGTGTTCAACTTTTCTTCTGAGACTGATTTTGGTCTCGTACAATGGAACATGCTGTATTTAAGTGCAAGTCTTACCTTTGAGACTATAACAAGGGCTTACTGCCAAAGATTGTGTATTTAGAAGTCACACTGGTCTGGTTGCTTCTTCCCTTTGGCTTCTCAAAGTTTGCTTTATATGATGAACTTTTAAAAATATATCTACTTGTGTTTGCTGAGCAGAAGTAAATAAAGGCTGGCGCCCTCTAAGCGAGCAGTATTTGGCTTATATTTCACAGAATACAGAGCAAAAACTGTATTTAATCTTTAAATTTAACATTCCTCCAGTGATTAGACTGGGGTGGCACAGTATTATCTTGGTGATAATTTGTAGGATTACGCCATTTTCAGATTGGGCCATTCCAGTGACGTTATCATCTACAAATGTATTTACAAAGACTTATTTTGCAGAAATGATTTGTTTATAGCATTTTCAACTCAAACTGGCAGCACAAATCTAATAACCTGAATGCATTTCACTTTGATGCTTTACGTGCCACCATTTTTGTGCATACTTTATATATTATTTTTGTAATTGTTTCTGTTGTTTTGTATGTGCAGGAGCAAGACTTCAGTTATATAAAAGAACATTACATGCTGAGATGAACTTTTCAACCAGATCGAATGATTGATTTATTACTGACTACTGTACACAGCTCCACCAAATGTTCTTATGTTAACTATTATTGTAACCAAATAAAAATTCCCTGACTGTGTCTCGTCTCTTTTGTGACCCTTATGTAAGTGAAATAGTTTGTTGAAGTTCTTAAACTTTGTTGAAGTTCTTAAACATAAAGTACATGGTACAGAAATAATAGTTGGGTGCATTTAACTTGGCACTTTTAACAAGATTTTCTTTTCTATCAAGCTCAGTTGGTCTCTTAGCGACAGACGAGATAAACAGTGACTCACCCTCTCCCCTGCCAAGTCCCCATACCACCATTTTCCGAGGCTCTCTCCCCTCTCATTCCCACCATCTGAAGCTATTTCTCTCCCTCCCTCCCTCTCGAACACACACAAACACACACACACACATAGTTAAGTACAGTCCATTCCCCCTCATCTCTGGTTAGCTCAACATTCACACTCTCACTAGGCTGCCTGTGCATCCTCTTGGTTTTACCCTGTGTAAACTATGTGGTATGAGCACAAATATGTGTCTCGTGTAGAGATGCGTGTGTTTCACATGAGGGTTCCGAGATCTGCGAAAGAAGGGGTGGCCTCCCTGCCTCCGTGTTCCACTCCTCCATGGAAAGAAACACAAATGAGAAACAGAGGCAAACCAGCTCTTTCCTCCCGGCTCTCTGGCTTACAGTGACTCACATGTGAAGAATGTGGTGGGCTGGCCCAAGAGTTATTAATATCTCCTTTCCTAGGGTCCGCTAAGGTTCCTCAGTCTTATGCACAGGATCTAGACACTGTACCTTTATGAAAGACTTTAACAACATCCCCCTATTTGGAGTGTTCCTGTGCTAGCACTGCAGTACACCACACCCTCTCCTGTGTATTTGTGTGTGAGAGAGCAAGAGGGAGGTAATATGTGAAAACAGTCAAGTATGGTGTCAAAATTCACTGAGGACAGCTGAAATCTTCATGTCGAAATATAGTTTCTTGATTTTAAATAAACTAATGCTGACTTCTTGTATATTTTCAAGTCATTGCTGGTAATTCTGTTCGCCATTTTAGAGAGCAGAATAAAAAATCCCCATAGCAGTTTGAACAATGTCAGCCTGTTACATAATTAGGCTATGCTGAGTCATAAACCATTTCAAACATTTGTTGCTCAAATCAAGCTACACAGTGATGCCACAGCAACAGGGTTAGACTTACAGACTTGCAGAGGACCCCCACCAACAACAGACATCCCCAACAATGAGGCTTACTCAACGAAACCGGGGTCTCCGTATACGTCACTCAGTGTTTACATGGGGAATTCCTCACTAGCAAACCTGCAGTGGAGGAAAAACTGAGGTAATCAACTCTGGAGTGGGGTGACATCTGGTGGATACAGGATTCCTGACCACCCTACACTGAAACTGTAAAGCACTGTTTCCAACTGTAGATGGCAGACTGGAGGCATGCAGCTGTGTGTATTACAGGATAGGTTCACATATCTTCAAGGTTCGTCAAGGTTATAATGTTCACTTTTTATTATACTGTTTTAGAGCGGTGTTGATTCAACTGTATGATAATGTTGGAGGGTGTGGTGTTGTTGAGCTGTATTACATTATAGAGATGTTTAATATTTAGCCTACCCTCACTCATAAGAATGGGGTGGACAAAATAATAGAAACCTGTACACATAATGCAATACAATTCAACAGCGCCACAGACTGGTGCTCTCAAAATCACCATAAAGTTGAATCAACGCCCCTCTAAAACAACTTCATTAAAAACTGATGTTAAGCTTCATGAAAGTAGATTTTATAGCAGGGCTGTATTAGTTTTAGCTAGGTGTACCTAATAAATGGCCAACTGAGTGTGTGTTGTCAGAGTTACTGGTCGCTGTAATTGTTCCACCTGTCCATACTGGCCCTGAAGCAAACCCTGATTTAGGTCAAAATCTGAAACCTTTAGTGCAAAACAACATGTCAAAGTTCAGCCAAACCTAAAAGGAGGCATCAGCAGAGTTAATCAAATCAAGAGGGTATCTTACAGACTGCTGAAGCTACACAAAACCTTCAGCTGAAACTAATTATGTATATATAATACACAGCTGGATGTAACAAGGATTGTGAATTTAACCACCATCTCTTTTGGAGTTGCATTAAGAAGTGATCCCTTGATGGCCAGTATAGACAGAGGGAATGAATACAGTGACCAAATACTTTCAATTTACTTATGGAAAATAACTAATTTGTGAACCTATCCTTTCTTTTTTAAATATATAATTCAGTACTTTTGTTTAGTATTTTTATTTTAGTCTAAACCTCGTTTAACTCAATATATTTTTTAAATCACTTGTAATTTCACTTATCAAAGATCTTGTACAATAGTAATAATGTAATTGGTCACAAATGACAAATAAAGTCAGTTATGAGAGAAAGTTACAGTTTATTACTTATCCAAAAAGTGAACAAATCATGTTGAAAACAGCTTGGTAAGCTTAGCTCAAAATATATCCCACTTTACCTGACCATACATGACGTATTCTGCTCTGACTAAATCACTGACTCAAACCTTTACATTTAGAAACATTGATGTAAAATTATGCAAAATGTTGCAACACTCAAAAGCAAAACTATTTTATCCCTATTAAGAGACAAACAATATATGGTAAGAAATGTAAAGCTATATCAGTATATAAAAATCTCTCAATTCAAATACCCATTCCACACATGGCACATGTACTGGGAAATAAAGCTCTGATTCCAGCTTCTCAACAAACATCACAAAAAGGCAGATTTGATGACTGACTGTATTCACAAGAGCATTTGAAAACATTTTCCCCTGTTGTTTTGTACCAGTGCTTAGAAACTGAAATGGTTTTTGATGTCTTTTATCTGCTTCATCATGTCACCGATTTGCTGTCCCTGTTCTCTAAGGACATCCTGAACAACTTTCTTCTGGTGGGCATTGAGTGAGACTGTTGTCCTGGCTGCTGGCACATCCTTGTCCACTTGTGTCTTCTGGTAGTCCATCTTCATGTTCACCTGTTTGATGCAGTTGTCCAGGTGTTTCAGTTGATCGTTGATGGTCTGCAGCTCCTTCTTCATATCCTTTTCACTGTTTGACAGTATCGGCAGTTGGCTTTGCAAACTGCCCAGCACTTTTTTAACCCTGTTCATAATGGTTTCCTGGCGATACTTTGCATCTTCGTACTTATCAGCCAGCCTCTCTGCTGCCTCTCTCAGACTCTTCCTCTCCTCCCTGCACAGAGTCAGCTCTTCCAGCTGCTTGTTCTTCTGGCCTGTCAGGAGCTTTACCCTTCTCTGCATCTCTTCACGGGCCATGTCCTGCTTGAGAATGTACTCCTCACGGAAGACCTGTGTGGCTCTGCTGAGGAGTTGCAGACACTCTGGAGGGGGTGGTGATGTGTCCTTGTCCCCAGCCTTAAGTACAAGAGGATTGGTGGAGCTACGTGCCAGGATGTTGCGGATGTGCTGCTCAAAGGAGTCATTGGCCAACCCACGCAGAGGGGAGCTAGCAGAGCCTGGACCTGGATGGGAACAGAGCAGGGGTGGTGAGGGAGGGCGAATAGAGCTCAGCAGGGGCAACAGGATGCACTCGTAGGTCGTGGTGATGCAGATCATGGTGGCACCCAAGGAAAGATCGGACACAATCAAAAAGCCACGAACCGGAGCTGACTGACTGGTTAGGAGTGGTCTGGTACAAAGAATGTGCTCTACAATACAGCGCTTCTCAGCAGCCAGCTCCTGGAGACTGTCCTTATCCTCCTCATTTGACTGGAGGAACTTCTGCAGTTTGTTGACCCAGATTAACCCCACACTGTGCACTCCTGCTTCGTGGGTACAATGATACCTGTGCTGGCACAGGGGATCTCTGTGCAGTCTGATTGGGCAGGTGAAATCAAACTCTTGAGGCTCCTCGTCCTCTCCTGTGGCTACTTTGAGGGTGAGCTCTAGCTCGACACACTCAAAAACATACAGAGCTGGCACTGACTCTGTGGCTCGGATCCATTTTTCTACTGTCCCCGTCTCCTCCTCTTCTTCAGACTCCAGCACCACACAGTGATACAGTGTGCCTGTTTCTGTGGCAATGACCAGGATACTGGGCACACATGGCAGGCAGAGAATGGCACAAGCATCATAACCATAGTTGTCCTCTGCTGCAGGATACATGGGGAGGGGTCCAACTGGTTTACTTAGACTCACACCATTTGCCTGGCTCGTGTAGCTCACATAGGTCTCCCCATTTTCGTAGAGGATGTACAGAGGATAGACCAGCTGATCTTTGGAGCACTGTGCTGCCAGCTGCCGAGGGGGGGACGAAACCGGCCCGAAGTCAAACGCCACTGCTATCTCGCCTAGAGATGCTGCATAGGAGCAGACCGGAGGATGGACACTGCTGTCATCTTCCGACTGCGACACAGGCAGGATTTTGGCCGGGGTTTGGGATGACTTTAAGCCGTAAAACCTGATGGTGTTGTCAGATGTGAGTAGCACCAGGTGGGGCTCATCGGTCTCGCTGGGGTACCAAGCCGCGTGCCGCAGATTCACCGACGGTGAGCTGGTGAAGAAACGCTCCGCGACAGGGATGGTCCTGCAGTTGATTTCGCTCCGTCCACCCTCGAATTCGGACCTCTTGCCCCACCGCTGAGGAAGCTCCAGCACAGAGACGCCCCGCTGCCCCACGAGCGCGACGTGGTGTTGCGTTGGACTTAGCAAGACCTGGCAAACCTCGAAGAGAGGAGGGTTGATGCACAGCAACGTTTGATAGTTCCCGCTGCTGCGACTCTCATCTGAGTTCAACTGTCTCAGGTTGGTCGTGTAAAACACGCGGTCTGCGTCGTCCCACAAGAAAAAGTCCCCGCCCAAACAAAAGGTGAGGTTTTTAGCGACCCCGCTTTCATTTGTGTTGTGTTCGGAATCCAACTTCTCTCGTATCTTTTTGAAGATGGTATGGTTTGGTAAGTCATTCAGCCACCGCTCCGCGCCGAATGCCGCCATCTTGATCCGCCGTCTGTTGCAGAGGGAAAACGATCCATGGCAACACGAGTTATTCACGACAGTCGTTTAACGTATTACGGTGGCCG